TTATTTTTTTCACTTTTATATATAAATAAGGGTTTTAATTTTGTTGTCGGGCTTAGGTGGAAGAAGTCTGAAAGAAGAGGAAGTAGTTATGATGGGTGGCAAGGTCCACTGTTGAGAGCTGGGTCATATCCAATTGCAAGAGGGGTTCATAAAGAGGGAAATCTTGCTATAGCAGGTCGAACATAGGTACCAATTAGGGTAACCAGGTTAGTTTTAACTTGTAATTTAGGTAACATTAGGTTTAATGCTATAGTGCTTGTCGTTTAAAAATAGTTCTTATATACTATCTGCTAACAAGTTAAGAATTTATTACTTACCTTTCTAAATACAACTTAGTGTAAAATTTTACAAGTCTAGAAGATTTGTACAAAGCCTAATAAAGTTAAAGCATGACTGCTGAATTTATAAAAAAAAAAAAAAAAAATTATGCATTATATTAGATTACTAATACAAATAAGTAGCAAAATTATACAAGTTTAAATTAAACTCTGCATATATAAAAATTTACAGATTTAACTGACTTATATATTAGTACCAGGTATGTACAAGTTAAATTATCTTTTTGATTTAGTTTGGTTATTGGGCTTATATAGATACCAAGAATGCAATTTTATGTATTATGTAGATCAATATATATAGGCAAGTTTATATATGCAAAGTTTATTATTTTAAATAAAAATACTATTTTATATAAGTAATTATACAGTACTTATTATGTAGTATATATTTTACATATTCTGACAAGCAAAGCTTATCATTATTTTAATATAATTACTATTTATATAAAAAGAAAAATTTGTAATTAATGCTGTTATCTTTTTACAAATATTATCTTTATAAAAAAAATAAAGAAAACAAGGTAGTGTATTGGATATTGTTAGATTGATTGATAAAATATGAAATTAAAAAGCAAATGCAGTGCCTTAAAATAAAAAGTTCCTATTTGTTAACCTGTATTACAAACACAAATATGAGTTGCAAGAGAAAAACAACTTTATTAAAGTATAAAAATATAAAACATGTCTTGCCTTTTATGAACTCTGAGAAACAAACAGGTATTTCAAGTACCCCAAACATTTCAAACATTCCAAGCATGTCAAGCAGTTCTTAAATAGAATCAAATATACAAATTGCCAAAAATGTAGTCATTGAAACTTATTTGAATAAAACTTATTTAGACAAAACTCATTTAAATAAAACTAATTTAGATGAACCTAATTTAAATGAAACCCACTTAGACATGTTTGGAAATAATGACAATTTACTTAAATTAGATTATTTGAGAGATGAGAATAATGAAGATATTTTAAAAATAAACTAGCTTATTCAAATTCAAATAAAAAGATAATGAAATTGCAACTAAATATATAAATATTCAAAAGAGAATTTGTAAATTATTATTTATTTGTTATTTGTAATATGCTTATACTTATTACTATTTATTGTTATTAATTTACATTGCTTTTAGGCCTTTCTTCAACTATTAGAAGTATACATGATATATAGCTACAAATTGCTACCATGTTACAAGATGTACAAATAAAACTAAACAAAATGTATTCATACTGAAAAGCCACAGGCTTTGGTAGTACATAGAAAATAATGCTAAATAGAAAAAGGTATGCAAGTATTAAATTATTATATTTAATCTATAATATTAGTTTACTAAATTATATAATTTTATAATACTTTATTATAATAGAATGCTATTGATCATGCTATTTATAGTTTAATTGAAAAGATTAAATACCCAAATAATAAATATTTAATAAAAGTATATTATGATGTATTATTAGACCTTAATAGGGAGAGATTTACAAACAAAATAAAATATAGCAAATAGAAGCGCTTTTTCAATAAACATGTTCATACTTTGGTAAGCAAACTGTAATGATTATTAATATTAATATTATTTTGTATTCACCTTAATTTTCATTTTTTTCATTTTTTTCCTTTTTAACAGGCTCAGAGATTCTTCTAATAGACAAGGAATAATATTGTCTAGCATATTAAATATTTAATTCATGCAGAGTTTGAAGACCTTATAAAGCCAAAAAAGAAAAATTATCAAGTTATACACAATAAAGAATTGAGATTCAAAAAATCAAGAATTACATGTAAATGTTATACAAAATTAAATAAGCCTGTCAATGTTGATGATAACCCAAATTACACATATCTTAACTTCACACTTAATTATGTATTTCCAGATCCAAAGACTGAAAAAATTCTATTGTATTTGGGATAGCTATTGCTCTTAACTATTTTGACTTATCAAAAGGGATAATTATGGTTTTGAGTAAGGTTGTTGAAAAAATGAACTATTTTATTAAAAAGATGAATGTTTCAAATCATAAGAGTTGTGATTGAATGATGGTACCAGGGCGGCTCCCCCAAAGTGCCATGATGTAGCAGCCACAGTATATTATATATTGTAAAATTGACAATTGTTATCTAAAAAAAGTGATCTATAATATACAGCTAAAAGAGAACCAATATGTTGGGCTAATTGATTTTATGTTACTGGCACTTTTGGGGGGCTGCCCTGATACTGTCTGATTGAACTATTGTATAATTTATATATCTACTGCTGTTATAAAAACTTTACTATTATTGGTGTAATATCTTCTTAATACTTAGATGTATTTTCTTTATGCTGTTATTACCATTGTTTTATTTAAAAAAATATACTTTTTTATATTGCTTTATTTGTTCTTTATACTGTTATCACTATTACTTTATTTAAAAAAGATTTTTTTTTCACATTGCTTTTTTCTCTTAAGAGACTATAAACTTGTAAATGCATTTTTCAAATGAATCTCTGTTAGCATAGAAATTATAGTATTATAACATATGTTAGTAATTAATATGTATATAAAGATTAGTTTCGCAAATAACTTTATATATTTCATAGTTGTAAATATTAAGTTTGATAAGTTTAAAGATATTATTAAATGGATATCTTTTAGCAAATTTATGAATATAAAGTATCTTGCTAAAGGTGGCTTTGGCACTGTTTTTAAAGCAGTATAAATTAACAGATATAATATAGAGCTTGAATATCAAAAGAAATAAATGAGAATAATTTTTGTAGTATAAAGATTTATTATAAGGTTCTTAAGATTTGAACAGCTTATATAAATTTAGCAGCTTTAAACAATTTTATTACAATTACTTGAATTTTATATAGCTTTTACTTATTTCAAGGCTGGTCAGTTTTGAATTTAGAGCATATGCATATAAGAGATTACTAATATTCTATTAGGTATATACTGCAGCAAGATCAATATATATATATTATACTTTTGACAAATAACATGCTATAGGATTACAACTTATCCTAGAGATCTAATTGTAATCAAGAGTTTAATCAATTTTTTAAAATTTATATCAATATTAATATAGATTGTTTTTTTTAATGTTAACTCTTTCTTATTGTCATATTAAGCATAAATAGTACTTACTTTTACTTCTATTAACAACTTATTTTTGTTAACAACTTACTTCTATTAGCAATTTACTCAGTTCTATATTTAATAGGTTGGCATCTTTTTTTTTACTATCAACAAAGTATTACAGCTTGTTGGGAGAGAATTTATACTGCAAACTTAAAGATTAATATTATCAATACAATAATTTATATAATAGCAAATTGGAATCCACTATGGTAAAGAATATGATAAGTATAAAAATTTGATTAAGTATATAAGTAGGTCTCAGTTTTAAATTGCCCACTAACTTATATAATTAATTGTAAATTTAAATTGAAAACAAGTCCCAACTAGTAAGCAGGGTAAGAATTTACTGTCTATTTAATAATTAATAAACGGCTTATATAATATTCATCCTCAAACTAGAATAAAAAATTATTAATCCTAATTATTATCCAGAATTTAAAAACTATATCTATCAGCTACAATCTCTAATACCAAGTCATTTTTAAAATATCAAGGTACTGTATAGATCTGGTTACTAATATTATATTGATCTGAGAATTTAAACTATCAATCAATTTTTTATATTTACTATAGATTGGATTTTTTAGATATCTTTTATAACTTTTTTTATGAGTCTTGGTTATTTACAATTAATATTGTTCTGATATTTATAATTTTTTAACAATATTTGTTTTAGTTGTAGGTTTATTGAAATCTGTGATAGCACAATATATTTATAAATTTTAGATTTTATTGCATAATATACACAATATATATCAGAGCTGATTTCATATAATACAGGGCATAATTTATTTTAGCATAGTAAAACCTGTAAATTCTGGTAAATTTTCTAGCATTAGTATAATTCTATTCTAGCCTAGCATTGAATTTATATTACATATATACAAAAAAAAAACATGGCAAGAGCAATATTTATAGATGGCAGAATTTAGATAGCAATGTATTGAGATTAGAATTATACTACTATTTCACACTTAATAATGAATACTTATTTATTTCATTACAATATCTAATTTGCTTATTAATATCTTGAACAGTGTTGTACACTAGAACGTTTCAGTGAAAATTACTGGAACTGGATGATCACTGGAACTAACAGGAACAAAAATCAAAATATTTGCTTCTAGTGGTAAATTGTCACTGGACCCTTCTAGTGGAAATTTTTAACACTAGAAGAAGGTTCCAGTGATTTCCAGTGGCTTCCGGTGGCTTTTAACTTTCTGTCACTTACACTGGTCGAAATAAAGCCTATAATGTTTTTAGTCCCAGTATGACACTGATTAATAGCTCAAATCGAGTCATTTTTAGATTTATATCAAAGCTAATAGAGCTATTGGTTAAATATTAGAAACCTGATAGTTTTTATAACTTTACTAATAGCTCTATCAGTTCCAATATGAACCTAGAAATGACACGATTTGAGCCATCTATATCAGGACTAAATAAGCTATGATACAGTACTTGCCCAATATACTTTATTTCGACCAGTATTATATTTAAAAACTTTGATTTTTTAAATAAAATAATTATTTTATTTATATATCTGATATGTCATTACAAAAATTTTTGCATCATTTGATTAGAATATATGACCTAAATATTATCACACATACAAAAATTAATGCTCTCTTTGATGCCTACTCTCATTGTGGTCCCGGCTAACACTACAAAAAAAAAAAATTCTACAGTATTTTTATTATTTACTACTGTATTTAATTTATTTGTTTTTACTACATATATTTATCTAGAGAGTGGAATTGATGAGTTTCAAGCATTGGTTAATCACAAACTCTAGAATTTCAAACATCAGTAAAAATTTTGACTAATGCTCAATGATTGACCAAATCAAAAACTTAATGAATGAAGTTATTTTGATGCTTGAAATTCGATCGATATCCGAATAATTATTCACTAGTTCCACTCTCTACAAAAGTACTTACTATTAGAGATGCTAAAATTCCAGTCCGGCCCAACTTGACTCAAAGAGTCAAGTTTTTGTTAAAGTCTGGTCCCAAGTCAAACTTGGGACTTGATTCACATTGCATGTGTATCTTATATGGGACCCCCCACAGCAAAAGGGGGATGGGACAAAAAATTTTTTTTTTAAAAAATTCAATATCTCGAAGAATCAAATTAATTAAAATAAAATTATCATAAGAACAAAT